TTTTTTTTTTTTTTTTTTTTTTCCTGAAAGGTTTTCTGAATGGTGTTTTAACAGCTCTGTTACAGCCACAGAACTGTGTAGGCAGTCAGACCTTGTGTCTTGTGCCCTGCCAGACTGTCCCCATCACTGGSAGCTTCAGAAACACAATGATCCAGGAATTGCAGGTACCCAGGTCCCCATTTGAGATGCTGGCTGCAGCTTGGTCTCTCTGTACCTTCTTACACAACAAGACAGAACCTCCCAATCTGTTATGTGGCAAGATATTGATGAAACCATGTGCTATTCCCTCCTAACTTACAGCAATTAATATGAAAATTAGGCAGTGATRTACGGCTTTACAAGTTTCCAGGGTTTACAAGTTTCCAGGTTTTACAAGTTTCCTTTCACAGCTGTGAAATTTTTATCATTTCTGCGATAGCTGCTGTTACTCTTTCTATCCACACAGATGCTTAACCCTTTTATGAATTATTTTAAACCACAGTCCCACATGTTTACAACCTTTTGCTCCTGTGTTGTATAAAAAGCTCTGAACAAGCACAACAAAACCCCCTGTAACTGAACTGAAAAACCATCAATCCATTAACCTCTTCAGCATCTTGCCTTATCTTTTCAGGATTGCCTCTTCCTTGCATGTCACAGGAAGGTGAATATGAGGGCTTGGGTGATTATGGGTTACCTCTCCCAGATGCTGTTTTACAGCCTTGCATCAAGGTCTTTTGCTTTCCCATTAAATGAACTATCCTGTCCTTTCAAAGAGCAGAGCTTTCTGCCTTTTCAGTTTCTGAAAGGGCAGGCACCAGTCGGTGAAACAGGAGATGGAGAAAGYGGCATCTTTCCTGCAGAAATGTGCCAGGAGAGAGCACAGAGGTGTGTCTGTGTGTGGAGAGAATAAAACTAGAGGAAATGATCTAGTCACCAAATGATTGAGTTTCTGAAAAAGCCTCTCCTGGAAAGAAGAGGCAAGTAGGGAACATAGAAGAGCATCAAGAATGTCAAGAAAGCATCTAATTAATGTGATATATGAAGTGGATCCAGGAAGAAATAGGACACATTAGCTGAAGAGTCTCTTCCAGCCCTATATGCCCATAAAATGCATTTTCCTCTGATATCAGCTAGCAAGTAAAAAACTATCCAAAGGGTGAGGGGAATGGTTAGGTAGACAAGCAATGCTCTGTATTTTTAATCTGTTGCTTCCATAGGTCATTGCATGGCTGCTGCAGCAGAATTTTTGTACAGGTAGAATCCCTGAATGTTTGAGTCAACAGGTATGGGAGTGTGGAATGGCAAATGTTCAGAACAGGCAACATGCATTAGTGCCAAGAGAAAAACTTCCACTGTTTCAGGAATTTGAAGTGTGAATTTACCTCTGCCAATGATTTCTGTGTCCCATATTTAAATGATCACTGAAATTAGTGTGTTCTTTGGTGTGTTCACATTTCTTCTGTTTCATATGAGATAAATGTGCTCTCATTCTTTCTGCCCCTCTGTACATTTGACAACTGTACTACCCATGGCAGCTTGTTCTRGGGGTTTTGCATGGGACAAAAACTGCTGTGGTTTTGTTGTTTGGTGGCCAGAGCCACTCAAAGATAGCAGTCACTGCTGAACGATGCAGGCTGGAAATGGGTGAAAAAAGGCACAATTTCTCCTCATGACAATGCAAACCGAAAGCTTTATTTCACTACTGCCAAGAGAAAATCTGTGTTTCAGTTATGGAAACATAAAAGTTGAAGTTGACCAAGGTGCCTGATGAATTTTATTAAACCGTGAATCAGTCAAAATACAGGGAAGAGTGACAATCCTACTCCAAACCCAGCCACATATTCCAGTTCAATGAGGGCTTAAACTATAATGGCTTCTGCAGTGCTAAATGCACCTTATCTCTGAAAGTCCAAGTCTTAAATCTCAAATMTTAAAGTACAAAGTCAAAGTGATGCCCCTTGGCATTTCTGAGCCCAGAACCTGTCAGGTGATTTTCAGAGACTTCAAACAGTGCTTGGCTTACTGGGCTTATCAGACCACTGACCTGATTTCATACTGTCTTTAATATCTCAATAGACAATTAAATGCTTACTTTTATGTACTGAAATGTAGAAATTATGACCAGGCTTCTTGGATGAGTAAGGCAAACAARGTTTTCTGTGTGAGTAAGGTTTCTTGTGTGTCAGGAAAACCAGGTGGATGGACATAACAAAAGTTAAGTTGGAATCCTGCTGGGTGAATTAATTGGTATCCTGCTCACGAAAGAGCATTGTTTGAGCTGTATAAGATGKGACCATTAAAAAAAACCTGTTAAATGGACTTCATTGGACTTTGTTGGGGCTTTAATGCAGAGGAGAGATTATTAGTCACGTTAAAATCATGTGCTAAAAGCTGTGAAAATATATTTGTGTAACCAGTTTATTTTAAGGATGCATTCAATTACCACTGAATTTTGATGGCAGCCTCACAGAAGCAGATGTGGCAACCACAGTGGTGCAAATGATATTTTTGATGAGGCTGGCTGAGGAAACAAAGCAGTCCCATACATCAACATGTTTGTGTTTTAGGGATCTAATCATCCCACATCAAGCATTAATGTCAATCATTGCTACAGCACTGCTTCCGCTAAAGAAAAGAAAGTTTGAATATTTAAAACCATGTGTATGATGTGGAACAGAAGGCAGCACCGTAGCAAAGAGAGATGAGAAAGGTTTGTTTTGTCCCTAAGCTGCCAGGATGAATTTCAACCTAAACCTGTTTCTATCGATGTAGGAAAGGTGCAGCTCCTCCTCTCATCACTCATTTTCATCCTGTTGGTTAAAAAGCCTTGAGGAACTTGTGTGTGGGACTCCTCCATGGAGSCTTTTATCTTCAGCTTTTCTGAGGACTGTGCAGGCACAAAAATGTGGATTGGCAATGTGCAGCTGGTAGTGAGGAGAGGGCATTATCCTGTCTTATCACCCAAAGTGCTCAGCACCAGCTGGACAGAAACACAGCAATATAATACAAAGAGACTACAGGACTTGTAAAGAGCAAAAGATCTTACAAATATCTGAGGCTCGGGAGGTGTTGGAAGGCATCTTTATCGATGTACACCAGGTTGTTGGCTTTTTCAATTCTTCTGCAAAGAGGAAATGAAACATCAGAGAAAGACGTAACAATATATTGATCTTAAAATYGTATTTGTACCATGACGTAGTGGAACAATATGCTGAGGTTTTCTTTTTGACAACAGAAGAGCTGCATGATTTCAGGGAGCAGCCTACCACTGACTGGCAGACCCCACCACCTTCTGATCCTGGCAGTGATCTGAGGATAAATTTTAGGCTGAGCAGGTATAAAAAGGGGCAGCTAGATAAGAAGATGGGAAAGACAAAGGGATATTTCAAATGCTCCTGTATTGCTACAAATTCTTCAGTTCTTACCTGAACCAAACTGCAAAAACCTTTGATACTTGCCTGTAATGAATCTTTATAATTGTCTCCTTTGCATTTAGATTGCTCATTACTTACATTTCATGTAGTTTGGGAAGGTTGGAAAACACATTTGCTTCTATGACCTCCAAGGCATCGTTCTGTGAGATCTCTCTGAAAAATAATTTAGAAGTCAAGATATTTCAAGTCATGGTGAAGCAAAAAATGGACGAGTGAAAATTTCACAAGGAACTTCTCAGATTACTGATGAGTTTTAAAAACGAGGTGGATATCAGAAGAGAAAACAGAAACACTGTTGGGTACTGCTGTGGCAAACTACAACAGCCAGGAACAGACATCTGAAATGTGGGGCTGAAATGTGGAACTGCAGCATCAGCCCTGCAGCTCCTGCTGTCACCATTCCCTGGGCATTAGATGTCAGGGCCTATCCATCATGGGCTACTGGACCTCTGACATYGCTAATTACTGACAGAAATTTAATGAAACCTTTTAACTCAGTGAAGAAAAGAGGGGTGAAGGTGACTGACAATAAAGACAGCTAAAAAACTCCCAAATATCAGGTAACTGTGAGCATCTTTGCAATGAAACCTTGGATAAATGGATTGCAAACTGGRCAACACTTGCTCCTGGATCTCTTGTTCTCTTGAAATGGTGATGGTTGCAAATAGATCCAAACAGGCCTGAGGTAAAACAAGAGATTGTAATGTCAGGTGCACAGTCAAAAAATAATCACGAAAATTAATCCCAGGAATATTAAGAGTGTATTCCACTCTCTTCTAAGCCACAGATGAACCATACCTGACAGATTACCTGCCCATTTAAGACAAACAAAAGCCTTGCAATAGAAGATAAGTTTTTTGTCTG